ATTAACAAATTACATAACATAAATAAATATATAATACATACATAAATATAAATAAGTCATATTAATTACAAGCGTTAGGAGAATTCAAAAGCTTATCGCGTATCGCGTAGTAGCTTGAATATGGGGAGCTAGTGCGTTCCAAAGTCGTATAGCCTGAAGCAAAAATGAGTTTGAAATGAACCCTGTACGTTGAAAAGGAGTGGCGAGAGTTTCTTTGCTGTCTGAGCGAAGGTTGCGGCTATGTGAAGCACCTAGATAATGAAACTTACATTTCAAATATCCAGGCGCACATGGATCTTTAATGATGGAATAAAGGGTACAGAGCATCCTCTGATCTCGAATAGTTAACCATTTTGACTTTTTCCTAAAAGAAGAGACATGATCGTACTTACGAAGACAGAAAATAAAACGTATGCGATTATTGTGTGATCGATCCAATTTGTTGAGAAATTCCTGTGTGATATCAGCATAACACACATCAGCATAATCTATAATGGGAAAAATGATTGATTGGATTAAAAGTATTTTAGAGGAAATAGGAAGGAAATTTTTGAACTGGTAGAAAGACCTAAGGGTGCCAATAACTTTTCGGCTAATAGACTCAATCTGCGTGTACCAGATTGGTGAGCTGTCAATACAAATGCCTAAATTTACAACATGAGAACAAATTTTTATGCAAGTGTTGTTGAAGATGTCTGGCGCAACTCATGTTCAACTTTGCCAAAAGACGAGAACTGCCCACGATGATGGCTTGGCACTTGTTAGGATTGACATGAATCCCAAAAGTATCAGACCAGTCTAAAATCTTGTTAATTGAGTTTATCATATTATCCAAATCATTTATTTCACCTTGAGCATAAATCTGCAAGTCATCCGCATATAGATGATGAGAGTTACCGAGAACAGGTGCAATCATATTTATGAAGATCGATAAGAGTATGGGAGAAAGAATACCGCCTTGTGGAACACCAGCAGACAAAACGCACCAATCTGACAGTGTATGCTTTACACAAATCGCCTGCCGACGACCCTGAAGGTAGGAAGAGAACCAGTCTAGTTCAGGAGACGAGATTTGTAAGTGTAAAAGCAACGCAATGAGAATATCAAGGTTAACAGCATTAAAAGCGTTAGAGAAATCGATTATAACTAAACTGTTAGCCGTGACATCCCCGTGCCATCACGTAAATCCTCAGTAACTTTTAATAAAGCGGTAGTGGTGTTATGACTTCGACGAAAGCCAGACTGATACTGGTTCAAAATATGATGTAACAAATTAGCCGGCATGCATGAGTAACACGATTATTGAAATTTTGTCACAAAGTATACCACAAAAAGAACCTTCCTTTAAAAAGAACTTCTGTCTAATGATATAATTAATGGAGTTTAGGTGTTCAAAGTGGAATACACCAAATAAAAAATTTGCCTCTCGAACATAAAATCCTCCGTTTTTTATTGCAAAATACACTTCAAGTTGTTTTGTCATAAAAACCGAAAATACTACTAATCCGATTTCGATAAAATACATTTGGGATCACCTCAGGCCTCATAAGCTGTCTTATAAAAAAAAATATGTTAAAAAACAGTCAATAAATAAATAGCGGAAAAAAGATACACACCCGTCAAACGTAGAACAAAATTTGATTTTGAAGACGGTTAAAATGGAAGAAAAACTGATATTAGTACTGACATATTCTGTCAGTGGTTTCATGAAGTGGCGCACTATATTAATCAAATTAATGTGGATTAGATGCTATTAGGTAAATTCTTCATAGCAAAATTGATAAGACCTTTATTAATCTAAACATATTAGATTAGAAGATATGAAATAATTATTAATTAGAAGTATTGTTTTGATGTAATTGTTTCATATATGTTCATTTAAAAGCTATTGGTTATTTGTTATAATACATTAATATTAGTAGGGATTTAGGACAGGGTTACTTATGTTTTAATTAAATATCGTGTGTAATATGTGTTTTATTATATGATCAATCATTTAAATAAAAATTATTAAATTGAATTTATTTATATAAAAACAAAAACGCATCGAAAGATATCAACGAATGGGCTTTGTTGCTGCGGTGAGTTAAAAAAAAATAACCTTTGCTAAAATTTGTGAAATGAAATACAAGCGATATAATTTTAAATACAATTTCAAAACTTTCTTAACAAACACATTTATTTCACTTACTTTTGGTAATTTCCTTTCAGGTTGCTGATGCAATCCTCCTAAGTATATAACATTTGGTGGCATAGGACGATTCATTTCCCAAATTGAATGAACATTTAAAAACACTAACTCAACATTTTTTTCAACTCTCTGAGCTTAGGTATTTTTGCACCAATTAAATTTTGCACTATCGTATCAGAACCAGTTTCAAAGTCCTCTGCTATTTTTTGGAACTGCTAATCAGAAGATCAAACTTCTTTTTACCACTTAAAATTATTTGAACTTCTTCATGTTGTAATTGTTTTTTCAACAACTTTTAACATTGTTCCAAACGGAACCCTTAATGGTGGAATAATAATATCATTATTGCTTCCTCGTATGACATTTGACGCGTCCATTCCTTTTCGCCAAATATCATGAGACACATCGTGAAGATCGATTTCAGTAAGATTAGCAGGTGCATCACTTTTGCGATATACGGGATGCGTGGTCAAAACTACCACTTCATGACCTCTCCTAATTAGTTCTAGAGTCAAAGGTCGAAACACTATTTGGTGACTGATAGACGATGATGGATACACTGCCAATATTTTTGCTGCATGACTTTTTACCACTACAACTGATACATTGTACATTTTACATACAATCGGTGTCAAATAACATACTATTAGCATAATCCATTGTTTATATATTGTATTCACCAAAAGAAAAATAAAACTCTGTTAATTGAAGTAAATATTCATTAATGAAAAACAAATCATATTCAAAATGATTTGAATAGTATAAAGTGTACAAATTTAATTTCTATCTGATATTTTCACTTATGATACTGCAGTAGTCATTTTACTGCACATCATGAGCCCTTTTACGTCCCCATTGCAGGCCTATCTTAAGGATGGTTAAGGAGGATAAGCCATGACCCCCACGCCCAATATAGATTGGAGGGTATTAACGACCGTAAATACCGGTGGTGCCAACGTTTAACGTGTCTTACAAAGCACGGAGTAGCTCGAGATAATAATTTTTGGTCACCCATTCCCAGACCAACCCTTGCGAAAGTTGCTGAACAATAACGATAGCGGGCTGCGGCGTTTATCCACTACACCACCGAGTTACCGAGTAATTTTACTGCACACAGAGTCTAACATTATGATCTCTTTCTTCTTTGCTGTGAAATTCGTTTCTTACTCATTGACTAGTAGGTATGGCATCTGCACTACACTGTTTGTGTCAGGCATTACCAAGATTAGTAGATTGCAAACTATTAAAGTTAAGAGAGTGAGTAGCTGTCGTCGGATTTTAATTATTGAACTGATTTTTTCTATTGTCCCTAATTTCAGTGTTTCTAAAACCAATTGATTAACGATTCCAAGGTTGTTTGGAAGAGATCACGTACAGTAACAAGACCGCTTTTTTTCCACCTAAGTATATATGATATATGAGCAAATGTATATGTATACCGACTTATGAGAATTATTTATTCTATTGTTTTTCCACTGAACATAAAAAAAAATGTTTATGTGGTGTTTATCACGAGCGCACACAGTTGACGTTACGCCATTTGTCCCGCCTCAATGACTCTTATGTAATAGATGATATTATTGTATTTGAACGTTTCCATTAATAGTAAGAAAACAGTTACTAGGTATTAATATATCCTTCATTTACTGCATTTTGGCTTACATTTTTTATCTCTTTATGGCAATAAAAATTTACTGAATAATATTTAAATAATTACGTTTTTAGTAGTGATAGAATAAATACAAATAATTAAATTAAACCTTTATCAAAAAGGAAAGGTCTAATTCTTTGAAATACATTGCAATTTGGCTGTTTTTTTTAAATAACACAGCTGTTGCAAGTCATATTGCTTGGTTAAAAAGTAACGCTTTAAACGTTTGATTTTAAAAATTAGACCAGGTAACTCCAATCATACATGGTGACCATGATCGTATCCTATTGTCATAGTCAAAATATTTTTTATTAGCTGCCAGTTAATAAGTATCTCCTATACGTGAATTTGCATGCAAACATAAATAAAGTGTTATTTTTTATAATAACCCTTACACCGTAATCATTGGCAAAATTCATGGCAATATTATCTTCTAATCTAACTTCATGAAACCTAAGCTCGTTGCTAATAGTTACGCTAAAAAAAAGAAGGATATCTTTACTATTGATACAGTGCCATGCCTGTGGCTGGATATTTTTACTATAGGCGCGCTGCAAAATCAACACATCTTGTACATTTGTGACATGATATTTAACATATAATTTTAGTAATCGATTAAAGGATGTCAATCAAACTGACATAACTGGCGCAGATATTCTCATTAAAGCTCTGCATTTGGCTATAGCCTTTCAATTATCTCCAAATAAAATATTATGTAGGTATTTTCTTTTATTACAAAATAAAATGATGAGATGTAATTAATAATCTAAAAGAAAAATGTGGAAAAAAATTTTTAGCCAAAAAGTAGTTTGCGATACATTTAACTTCCAAATTATCTCCAAGTATGGTCTGAAGAAACAAACTGCCTCTGCAATATAACTCTTAATAGTAATAAGAACACCGTCATTTCAAACATAAAATTATTTATTGCATTATTTACGTACAAAATTTTAAATCAAAATCATTATTATAATACCAATATATTTCTGTCCATGTAGTTGACGCACGAAATAGCCCAAGGCAGCAAGAGTTACTGACAGCGTGGTGAAATGTAATACCTAATACATAGCTGATATTTCATAATTAATTAAATAAATAAAATGAAATATAACCAGATTCAATTATTTTAGGTTGATAACTTGACATTTTATGGGTGTATTAACTTGATTTTAATTTCCCGTTAATCTTTTTTACTCCGATTAATCTATACAATATTAAAATTATAGCTACTATTATTATCATGCAAATTGTTAATAAATAGAAAACTAATTCCAGCTCCAGGTACTCTGTCCAGGAAATGTTTGCAGCAGGTGAGCGCAGGTGTTTAGCTCCACCGTGTCGTATCACATACTCTGTCCACCATACAGCTCGTTCTAACGGTGTCTGAGGCTGATCGTCAATTATCCTCTTCAAACGTACAATGTTTCTTCGATAGCTGGAGAAAATACAAAAGTAAAAGTAAGTGAATTTAAATGCAATATAATCAATGCCCTATTTGGGAAAAAATATCAATTCTATTTGAAAATAATTAGGAAAATAGTAATTGGTAAGTATTAAGAATATTCAGTATGTATGTAAGTAATTAAGAATATGCAATGGTAAAAATTATTTATTTGTAATCGATAACAATTTTAGAATAAAAGATGTTAGTGTTCACTGTTTCGAAATTTGAACTGATAATGTCAAAAAATACTTAGAAAGCGTTCTGCGTGACTTCTTTTCATTCTTTATTTGCATTTTCTTTCTAACTCATTTTTTATCAAACAATTTTTGCTACACGTCTATTACATCAAGAATATTCGCATTCTTTCGTACAGAACTATTTCTTCTCCAGAGAACATCTTTCACTAAACATTTTAGTTTTATCACTATGACTATATGAGCGCGTTTCGTTCTTATAACGTAGGTACGTAGGTAGGTAATATAAAGGTGTTTATTTTTTGGTAACCACCTGTTGTTGCTTAGTATTTCATTGATAGCATTTCTGAATTTCTCCTCATCAATAGTCTCCATATCTACTCGCACACCAATGCCATGGTGTACGTACTGTTCTACATTATACCACTGATCTCCCAACATAGGTATACCGATCAAAGGAACTCCAGCTGTGATAGCTTCATCAGACGACTGCAAACCTCCTTGAGTAATAAATAGCTTGACTTTATGATGCTCTAAAATTATAAATACTTTGGATTTTAAAAATACACATTTTCATCCTTATAATGATAAAGAGACCAAGCATTAAAACATGAATATTGAAATATTAAATTATCTTGTGAAATGGTTTAGTATTTTAATTTGATATTACGTTTTAATTATTTATAAAGAACTTTAAACAAATTTATGTAGTAAATGAACTACATTCATTTACTACATAAATTTAAATAAATTTTATAAATGCAAAAGAAAATTTGTATAAATATGTAACTTAAGAAATTATTTGAGTAACTGCATTGTTTTCTTATTATTATTTCCAAAAATTTAATTAAATATTTACTAAGTAAGTCAGCTTGCGGCAACCACTTTGATATTTTGATGTTTTTACTGCGCCCAGGCAATTTGTTCTCGTTCCATTTCCATAATATATCATATGGTAGTTTTGAGAAGACATTTGTTAATATCTGAATTTTATGCGGAGGCAACAAAGCCAGATCGACGTTAGTCCCAAAACTGATATAAATCACTCCGTGTGTAGAGGAATCGAGATATGTCTTGATATCCTGAATAAAAGAAACTCATTAGTAATACTTATTTAAATGAACTATAAAAACATTTAACAAAAATAGATTTTAAACATAGTAATAACACCTCGTAAAAGTATTAGTCCTATCTTTACTGTGAAAAGTCAAATTAGGTATCGGTACACCTACTATAAGTCTTTTACCTAACAAATCAAATTTAAATTCACTGACCATAAAACGATTTCAATTGCCATTGGATATTTTTTTTCGACAATCCACCAATGACTTAAAAATCTCAAAAAGAAATCATTCCCAGCATTTTATATATGAATTATGCTTTAAGCAAAGTTTTCGAATTCTATTGGATACTATTTAACTTAAATAACGATACCGTATCAGATTGTGTAATTTTTCAGTGATTAAAGAAAGAAATTGACCATCTCTTTAATTTTAAACTGAATTTTGTATGTAATTTGTGATATGTTTGTGACATTTACTCGGTGGAAGAATTGTTTTAATAATAGATAAAACTTTAAAACCTAGGACTGGTGATTTTGTATTATAAGTATTTTTCTATAAATTAAATATAAACATAGTATTGTAAATTCAATATAACATCGTAAATTTAACTTACTTTGGGTAATTCCCTTTCAGCTTTTTGATGTAATCCTCCCAAGTATATAAAATTTGGTGGCGCTGGACGATTCATTTCCCAAAATGGATAAACGTTCAAAAACATCAAGTCAACATTTTTCTTCAACTCGCCCAGCGTTGGTACATTTGAATCAATGTCGGTCTGCCTTTCGAAGTCTTGTGCTATTTTGTCAAATTTATAATGAATATACAATTGCCTTAATTTATCCCTAATTGTCAAATCGTAAATTTTCTGTTGAACTGAATAGGGAAACATCAGCGGATGAGATGGTGCACCGAAAATATTGAGAACATCAGGAACGGATCCCATTGAACTGATCTGAATGACAGGCACCTTTAATATATGGGAGAATATTAAAGCTGATAAACAAAATGCTTCATGAATCAAAAGATCGAACTTACATTTTCCTTTTAAAATTTTTTGTATTTTTTCATGATTATATTGTTTTTCAACTAACTTTAATGTTATACTAAACAAAATTTTCACTTGTGGAATGATATCATTATTATTTCCTTGTATTGTGTTGGATGAATATAATTCTTTGCGCCAAATATCATATGAAACATCATGAACATCGATTTCCGTAAGATTATCAGGTGATTCACTTATTTGATATATCGGATCCGTTGTCAAAACAACTACTTTATGACCTCTCTTAATAAGTTCCATAGTCAAAGGTCGAAAAACTATTTGATGACTGATAGACGGCGTTGGATACACTGCTAATATATTTGCAGTGTCACTGTTTACCACCACAATAACTAACAACAAAACGACGTACAATATTCCTCTCATCACTGTATGTCTGTATCGTACAGTTATTGGTGTAAAATGACATACTGACAGCGTGGTCAACTATTATAACCTAACGTTATCATCGACTAACAAATTAAAACTGTGTTTATGTTTCAAGCGCGCAAACGGATAATATAATATGTGATTAACTTTGAATTCTGGTGTGAATTTAAGAATAAGGGATACTACACACGGTATCACTTTATTTATCTATACGGATTTGTCACTTTATTTATCTATTTGTCACTTTAATTATCTACACTCTTTATGAGTACACGTCCGAAAAGTTTGAAAGGTTAATCAGTTAACCTTCTGTAAATATGATCTCCAAAACTATTAAGCATTAAATAAAATAAAAAAAACAACATAAACATACCTAGTTCTTTATTTATAAATAACACAAAGTATTTGCATATGTTTCTCAAACTTTGTATTTGTGCGGAATTCTCTGCACGCGAGTCCGATTCGCTGTGTGGCGACTTTTTGAAGTCAGTTTCATTCAAAATAATATATCATATGAATTTTAAAATTTGTTTTATTTCATTTAATAATGCTACTAAGAATTGGTTGTAATTAAACTTAAAGTCGATTTTTGGTAATAGTGGTAATTGCTTTAAATAAACAGACATGTTTTCAACTTTTTTTGGCAACTGGAAAGTTTGGCATTATAAAGACTTGAATAAAGGAGTTTTTTTTATTTTATTTTTTTGAGTAGCTCAGTGGCGTAGTTGATAAGCGCCGCAGCCTGCGATCGTAGTCGTTAAGCAACTTTCGCGCTCGGGATAGGTGAACAAAAAATTATTATCTCGATCTACTCCGTGCTTCGGAAGGCACGTTAAGCCGTTGGTCCCGGCTGCATTTGCAGTCGTTAATACCCTCCAATCCGCATTGGGCCAGCGTGGAGGGTCATGGCCCATCCTCCTTAACCATCCATAAGGAAGGCCAGAGCCCCTGCAGTGGGGACGTAAAAGGGCTGATGATGATGATGAATAAAAGAGGAGGAATCTTTACGTAAATATAGTCTTTGTATATTTTGTATTAATTTTTAAGTTCTTTAGGTTTTATATAGCTTGGCTCTTGGATCATAGATATTCTATAATATTAATAGAGTTGTCTCATACAATTTACTCTTTAGTTGTCTTGCACTTACACCCAATTAAGAAGTCTATAATTACGAGTACTTTAAACTTCTTGCCCGAATCTCGTGTTACTTCAGGTTTCTCTATTTCTATGGGGCTATCGGCTATATTTGTTTTATTCTATGTTTTTATGCTAGAAGTATGTTCACCAATCGATTTAGATTTAGATATCACTAAAATAATAAAATAAAAACCGTTTTTCAAAAGATAGAACCGATTTCATTTTTTTTTATTAAAAGCCGTTAATATTTTCTAGAAAAATTGAAGTCGATCTAAGGTTTTATGTAGTTCATTAAATGATAATCGCCCATTACTGATACTGAACCATAAAATTATAAAAGCTTGTATTCAAAAATAAAACTTATTTTACTGTAACAGAGAGATATATTTCACAACTAAAAATTAATAAAATTTTAAGTAATTTAATTACTTTTTAGATTCTCACATTATTACATTGACAAGTAAATAAATTATTTCGATTTCAATTTGCCTTTAATCTTTTTCCTTCCTAATATTCTATACACAGTGTATATTACAAGTGCTGTTATTGTCAGACAAGTTGTAAGTAAGTAAAAGATCAATTCTAACTCCAGGTATTCTGTCCAGGACATGTTTGCAGCAGGTGAGCGCAAGTGTTTAGCTCCACCATGTCGTATCACATACTCTGTCCACCACACGGCTCGTTCTAATGAGGACTGAGGTCGGTCCTGTATAATATTCTTCAAACGTACAATATTACGTCGATAACTGAGGAAATATTAATAAAATAAGTTATAGAAATATGTAAACAAATGTTCATAGCTCTAATTATAAAATACTTAGGTATAACGTCAACTCTACTAAGGATAAAATACACTAATTTTAGAAGTTGATAATTTTATTATTAGTTGTCATTTTGTTTTTATAAAGTCATATGCAAAAAAAAGAAAAAGCTAAAGTGTTGTAATTTTGGCCACATAAGCTTGTAATAATCTACAGTGTAAAAATATACCTAGAATATGATGTTCAAAATATTGTCACTAACAAAATAAAAACTGTTTTGTCATACTGCTATATGTTTTGTCATTCTTTACTTATCAACCTTGATTTTCGACAAAAATATTTAAGGGAACACAAATAGTATCAAACATATGCCAATTTTTTCTCTTGGTATTGTTTGCATAACTCCACCTAGCTTCGCAAATGATATAAGATTTTCATTATAATACTTGATATTTGTTCTCAATACAAAATGGATTTACACCCAATGAGTTTTTGCATGTTTGTTTATTTGTACTTTCCCTTAAAACACAGTTTTTACCTAAGTTATTCAGGTGTCATCATTACTCCTGGTGTCATTGTCGACAATAAACGTAAATTTTACTCATGCGAGTATAAACAAGAAAATGTATAAGGTCACCAAGTTTTATGTGTGAGCCATCTACATAAATTATATTAGTTCCAATTTTGTAATCTTCTAAGATATGCTCAATTTCTTGTCTTGTCTTGTCATAATCCGTGATGAATCGAATGTTTATATTATAATATGTACACATATACTCCTACCTACAATAATAGACGACATTCTTACTTTTCATCATCTCTCCGTCAAATATAGTTGGCCCCCTCAAAATTTATGTTTACAGTTAAAATTTGAGGGTGCCGGCTAATATTGCCATTAGCTTGACAATAACAGCAAATTTCGTTTCAATAGAAAATGTAATAATAAATTCGTAATTATGTATATATATATTTTCAACCCACCTGTCGTTGTTTAGTATTTCTTTGATAGCATTTCTAAATTTATATTCATTAATAGTCTCCATATCTACTCGCACACCAATACCATGGTGTACATACTGTTCTACATTATACCACTGATCTGCGAACATAGGTATACCGATCAAAGGAACTTCGCCTGTGATAGCTTCATCGGTTGACTGCAAACCTCCTTGAGTGATAAAAAGCTTGACCTTAGGATGTCCTAAAATTTCATAAACTTTTGAATTTTTTGTTATTGATTTGCATTATGAGTTATAAGGGTTTCAATATCTACAATAGGGATGATGACTAATTTTTGTTTGTTTGTCCGTTAGATAGAGTTTAAAAATATTAAACACGTATTTTTTTTTTTTTCCTAATTATAAAATTACGGCGTTACATGGAGTTGAAATTTTGCATGACGTCACGTTATGGTACGTTTTCTACTCAACTATGACGTAGCGAACCCTCACTCCTCAACTTTAATTCCTGTTATCTAAGCTATTTCTTGTTAAATTGAAGTAAAAAAAAATACGTATCTAATATTTTTCTATTATCTGACTGACGGACTAAATAGAATTGCATTTTTTACCCAGTTTTTTTACTTTGAAAATGAACTTCAGAAAACCAATAAACTATATTAAATTTCATTCGATTCATTGGCCTAAATAAATTTAACCAACAACTAATATTTTAAAATTTATCTACGAGTATGATCAAAGTGTAGTTAAAGTAGATAAGATAAAGAGGTAATTAAAATTAGATTTGTTTTAATTCTAAAAAGTTTATAAAATAAATGAAATATATAAATGAACTAACTGTATATTTTGGTTTTGCAATGTGGGACCTGTATTGAGATTTTGACTTATTACTGGATATGAAGGTTTTCATATACCACCGACTTGGGATCCAGTAATCAAAAAAAATTTGTTTTGCATTGTTAATATGTCGAATAATATTGTCTTTTTAGCTATACTTTTAATTAAAAATACAATCAACACCTTAGTCTTTTGTGAACACGGAACCTGTAAAAGGTCCAAAACGATAATAAAACTAAATACAAACGTTATGAAACCGTTTAAAAGTTGTTTTAATTTATGAAAATGAAAATTTCATTTATGCGCGTGAAAATAAAAGAAATCAATAAGTTTAATACATACTTAGTATATCAGCTTGCGGAAACCATTTTGAGATTTTGATATTTTCACTGCGCCCAGGCAATTCATCTTTGTTCCATTTCCATAAAATATTGTGTTTTAGTTTAGAGAAGACATTTATTAATATTTGAATTTTGTGCGGAGGCAGCGAGGTCGGTTCGATGTTAGTACCAAAACTGACGTAAATGACTCCATTTGTTGAAGAATCGAGGTATGTTTTGAGATGCTGTATAGAAAATTATTACTTTTTATTTAAAGATGGGCTACTTGCACCAAGTTTTACTTAATTATTATGTTTGATAAATTTTGCATTCACAATGCTATATAAATATCTTTAATGAAAAATTATTTAAAAATCTATCAGCCCCAGGTACCCTGAAATAGGACAGCACAACCCTTCGGTGGATTGCCTGAACATTGACGAAAATACGATCACTAGTAGCGAAAAGTATTAAGCTCTTCATAAATTATTTATTCCTGTTGGGTCTTTGGTAACTCAATGGTTAGAGCAGTCTTCCAGATTACGAAAAGTTTTGGGTTGGAGTCCCATCTTAGGGTATCTTTTCTGATAACGAAGGGGAAATATATCTCAAGTCTTAAACTAGGACTCTCCAACCACCTCACTCTGAAAAAGGCAGTGTGAGTGTGGCTGATCTACCTGGTAAGACCGACTACAGTTTACCTCACGTGAATAGATGAGTACGATATTCTGCAAGGCGGGCCTGATCATATTTTGGGGTCTGGGACCAGCGTATTTTTAAGCATATTTCATTAAATAAGTTTTACATAAATTACACCAATTAACAAAATTCAATGTACGTAGATATTACATATAATATACTTAATAAAAATTCAATAACTGCACTTCACTTACATGAGGTAATTTTTTTTCAGGTTGCTGATGTAATCCTCCCAAGTATATAAGATTTGGTGGTGCAGGACGATTCATATCCCAAAATGGATAAATGTTTAAAAAAACTACTTCTACATTTTTCTTCAAATCCTTAAGTTTTGGTATTTTTGCACCTATCACCTTTTGCAGTACAGCATCAGAGCCTATTTCAAAATTTTGTGTTATTTTAACGATTTGATAAAATATATAAAGTTGCTTTAGTTTATCCCATATTGTCAAATCGTAAATTTTCTGTTGAACAGGAATGGGATATAAGAGAGGATGAGTTGGTGCTCCGATAATATCTAGGACATCATAAACCACTCCGAAAGAGCTTATCTGAATTGCAGGCACATTTAGTATATGTGAGAAAATTAAAACTGGCGTACAAAGTGCTTCGTGAATCAAAAGATCGAACTTCTTTTTACGATTTATAATTTTTTGTACTTCTTTATGTCTTAATAGTTTTTCGAGAAACTTTAAATATGCTCCATACATAACTCTCATCTGTGGAATTATATCATTTATGTTTCCTTTTATTATATTTGACGCTTCCTTTTCTTTGTACCAAATATCATAAGAAATATCATGGACATCAATTTCCGTAAGATTAACAGGGGCTTCACTTTTATTATATATCGGATCCGTAGTCAAAACTACCACTTCATGGCCCCTTTTAACCAGTTCCAAAGTAAAAGGTCGAAATACTATTTGATGACTAATAGATGGCGTTGGATACACTGCCAATATCGTTGCTGCATCAATTTGTATTATCACAACTACTGACAACAAAATTACGTACAATATTTGTGGCATAGCTATGTTAAACTTCACAGTATAGTTTGCAAAAACCTACTCATATCGTGTTAAATAGTTTATAGACTAAGTTTATTACCAGTCATAAAATTGACATCGTGTTAAGTTGAATAGACATATTAGCACAAATAGAATAACTCATAATACACACAATTTAAGAAAATAAAGACTTGATCAGCAACAATTTGGCTTATTTTGTGTTATTATATTATAATAATTAACAAACAATGACCTAATTGAAATAAACAATTGAAATATGTGCTTCTGCTTTTGCTTAGATGCACAGATATTTTAAAAGTTAAAGATATCTGTAAGGTTTTTACTTTGATAATTCTGTTAAATAGTATAAGGAGACTTTAAAACGCAAACCAACTTGATATCTTATAATTGTATTTTTTTATAAACTAGAAATACATATCAGATTTTGATAGTTTTGATGGAACTAAATCAAAAATATACCGTTTCAAACTTAAAGTCGGTTAAAATCTTCAAATTTAACTCAAATGATATGACAATAACAAAATAAAGAAGTAAGCCACCTAATTTTTTACATATATACTCAAATTATGACAAAACAAAAATACAATCTTTTGACATACACTCTTGAGAAAGTAAAGTGGCATTGAAATCTAGCGCTAAAGTAGTAAAATATTGTATTCTAATGCATATTTTATTACATACACCACGTTTCTGTAATGTTTATTATCGGCTTTACTTTAAATATTTAAAATACTCATTGGCTCTTTAGTGGTTTTACCAACGCTGATAAAAATATGCTATTTTGTTCTTAAAATTAGAAATTTCAGAGATTCAATTATGTAACATTATGAAAGCATAAAACGGTAGAATAAATTAGAAGTTAATAATAATAAGCAATATAATAAACTATGTCACAAATCAAACAAAAGTTTATGTTATGAAAATCTATTATAACTAACTTTCAATATATCTCTGGAGTCTCGAGTTCAATACCTAGTCGGATCAAGGGGGATGAGTGTCGTGGTGACTCGGCCACGGCTTCCCGCTTCTCACCCCCAGAGGAGGGTTCACCGTAGGGTTTTTTGTCAGTAGCCCTCCGGGAACCCACTGCGCGGTTAGCCACTGCTAATAGAACGGGTCGCTTGCCAGGATAAACGCCTAATGCATTTCCTCAACAACAACAAAAGAAGGGTCAATGTAAATAATGCACTTTTCTTCTGGTCTGGCTATTGTGGCGGTTTCGTTATTGACTATTTCGTCACTTTTAAAGTCTTAAATTTCTTAATGTAGGGTCGAAGCAATCGTAGTCAGCCAAAATATCTTTATTCAAATATACTTATTAAAAATACTTTTGAATCGTTCAATTATGTGTAATATTTTTCTACTTTTGTTTCATTATATTTATTCGACTAATTCTGGAATATTCATCAGCTAATCTTTTACCTCCCCATTGTAGGAGCTCAGGTTGGGGGATATTAGAGAATGCAAATGCAGCCGGTAGCAACGACTTAAAGTGCCTCCCGAAGCACGGAGTTTCTTGGAATAATACCTGGTCACCTATCGTATGACCGTCCCTCGTGAAAGTTGCTTATATTAATAAGCAACTTTCACGAGAACTTTTGTTTACTAAACGATCGCGGGCCACGTCGCCTATCTACTATGCCACCGAGGTACGCTAGCTACATATTACGTATTTGTTAATTATTTATATAAATCGATATATTTACTGCGCGACACTAAGTTGTGGGGATCCCAAATGTCTTACAAACTACAATTATATTAATAAGGTCAGTAAACTCAGTAATGACTGGTAGAGTCATGATGAATTTAAACTGGAAACCCATTGCATGCATGTTTATTGTGCTTTATCAAGCTTATATTTACCTGTCTCTCGTTATTACTGGACGATTCTGCTATTTGATGACATGACTTGCTATTATTAGCTATCATTTATGTCTTAATTTAATACGAGTAATTCATTATATAAATCAAATTTAAGATTAAGGACATAGATAACTCTGCACCGCTGTCGGTCCGTTTATTTGTTTGTACTTTTACTTTTAGATTCCGATAATGTCAATCGCCATTTAGGAAAGGGAATGATATTTTCAGTCACGTAAGTATAATCTTATGTGTCATCCATTTTTACCCAACTACGGCAGCGAAGCGAAAAAGAGGGTTATGATTTTGGCCGGTATATATTTAAGAATGTTCATCTCTTATCTTATAACTTTGAATCTACTCATCGTAACTTGACAAAAAAGAATGAGTATCATTAGAAGCGTATTATTTGTCCGCGTGCTATAAACGTTATATTGAATTGACAACAGTGCCCTCTAGAGAGCATAAAGTGAGAAACTAAAAAAAAATATAATATTCAATTATTTCGTGCAGGGTATCAAATAAAAGGGCTTAATTAGCACATTTCAAATATATATAATGATAGCTTTTGCTTAAATACATCCGAAAATCAAATAAATAAAACAATAAGTCCAAAAATTAAAATCCGTGTGCTATACTGATCACAACAAAACAAACTGTTGAGGCTTGCTGTGACTACGCTGTATTTTGGTCATCGCTATTATATTATTGCTATTGCTATAAAATAAATTTCTCGTTTTGCACTTTTTAGAGCGTGATTTTGCTGTAATCGGGTTTAAGTTTCTGAACCATTTTTTATACTGTCTCAATTTTTATTTTGTTTAGTCCCAGCTGTATTTGTTATTAACGCCAATCAAACCGCATTACGATCCCAAATTTTCTCCTTATTCTCCTTGATCTGATTCTATGCTTGAAAATGTACCCAAGCAATGGGGAAATTATGAGGTTGATGGTATGATACCTGTTCATGAGGAGGTCGTTATCGCAGCGCAATTTGTCAGAGTGGATCATAGGATGGGTCGATCGCAATCAAGGGGCGGAGTCTCAGCACCCTATGATCATGTTTTGGCTCACGGAAACATGGCTCCTCCATGGGATAGCTAAGGATAAAAATGTACTTATATAAGTTTTTATATGTATATAAATAGATGTTACTATATCTATTTATATACATTATTTCGATGAGAATTATGTACACTTTTTAATATTTTAAACCTTCTTTCTATAATAGTTGTATTTTTTATGATAAAAATACTACTTTTAATATTGAACTCGACAAACTGATGTAAGTTTATAATGCTGTCACTTTACGATAAGACTAATTATGTTTATAATATCTATATTATAATAAAAACGTAACCGATCGATGTCTGTACATTGAAGATATATGAAAAAAACTATTATGAGGGATATTTATAAGCGTAATAGAACACAAAACAATGATTTTTACATTTTTTGTCTGTTTGTCTGTTTGTCGGTTTGTCAGTTTGTCTGTGCGTTTGTGCACGATAATCTCAGAAACGGCTGAACCGATTGAAATGCAGTTTTCACTATTATATTGCGGTATTCTTCCGTTAACATTTAGTGTGAGATTTATTTCAATCGGTTCACAAATAAAAAAGTTATGTCAATTTGAAGTGAAATGGTCGCCAAAATTGCTATGAAATATTAACTGTTTTATTAAATTTTCGTCTTTGATATATTGATCATCATCATTAACTCTTTGACAGTCAAACTGCAGGGCCTCAGGCCTTTGTTTAATAATTTTTGGTCACCCATCCCGTGAACAACTCTTGCGAAAATTGCTTAGCAATATCGATCGTGCGCAGTGGTGCTTATCCGTAGCGCCACCCAGCTACGAATTAACATTGTCTATAAAATGATAATTTGTATAATGAAAAATAAAAATAAAAAATCCAAAAT